CTAGGGAACTCCTTTGACAGCGCCTTTCCTACACCAGCACAACCTACTCTTAAGTGGGATAAACGTAATAATGTTTCCCAAGTGCCACACCTCAGGGAGAACTTCTAAGTACGCACTGGTACTGGTACCGATACGTTATTATCTCTTTTGTCTAGGACCATACTAGCTTGTGGCAGGTTAGCTGGTGTTAAGGTGTGGTTTAGTCATTTTTTCCGTATTAAACATTTGTTGCACTTGTTTCTCCTCCTTCCTTTCTTTACATGTATTTTATTTCTCTCTAGTAAAACTTCTAATCTTCGGCAATGATACTTATAAGACTTATTTGTATTGCAGGCATTGTCACGCGCTCACTAAATCGTTTTTTAAACTATAAAGTACGAGCAGTCACAACTTTTCTTGAGTGAAAGTTCAGAATATTCAGCGCTGGGTGCCAGCATTTATACAAGGCAATCAGGCTCTTTGACCACCTAGGAGAAGCAAGTCATTTGGGTAATAGAAAACAACTTAATTACCGATTGGTCCGCTCATCAAAGTTGCGCACGTTAAGGATCCCTTGGTGGTCCTAAAACCGATTAGAGTATGCTTCGGCCGCCACCCGGGCAAAATTCTAAATTCCTAGGAAACCGAAAATGTTAAATGTGTATCGCGCGCTCGTATTGACTTAATGCAGTTGTGAGCACCGTAAAACACTAAATACAAAAAAACTAACCCGGAAGAAAAGCTTGTACATCACCTTATTATATTATTATGACACAAGAACAACCAAGGCAAAACTTTTACCTTGAAACCTTCAATCATAACAAGCATGTTTGTGACCGACTTTCTCGAACGAGTTTTGCATGAATGCTCTTCGTGGAAATCTGATCGACATCGGTTGACTTACTGGGTTTATCTAACTTGTCAGCGCAAGCTATAATTATGTCTCCTTCTGTTTCTTTTTTTTTTCTTTCCCCTTCTTATTGACTTGTGCGATGTTTCCCAGCGAAATCAATAAATGGGGTCGTGAGGGCCATATTGCGTCGTGTAAATCGAGTTTATTGTACGCACTGGTGGACAAAGCAGCTGTTGATAGCACACAAACACACCAGCAAGCGTACACACATACTAGCACGTGATAGGTATGCCCTTAGCTTTGTGGTCAACGTGAACCGAGGACAGCGTGTTATGCAACTGCTTTTAATTTTGCTACACAAACAACTATCTGCTTCTAACCTCATTCTTCAGCCGTGACGCATTATGCACCTCCAGGTCAGTCTGATCTCCAACGGGTTAATTCGTAAATTAAAGCGAGATCAAGGTATAGAGAGGGTGAGAGATCTATGACGAGAGAGAGAGAGAGAGAGAGAGAGAGAGAGAGAGAGAGAGAGAGTGTGTGTGTGTGTGTGTGTGAGAGAGAGAGAGAGAGGGGTGAGGCAACAGGGGTAAGGAAACAGAAAGGAGAGCAGAGAGAGGCGAGAACAATGAAAAGTAATGACTAATTAGACTGAACATGAAATTAAGAAACATAAGAAATAAAGATTATTCGTAATGAAAAGGTTTCGACACATCCCTTATTGATAAAGATAATAATATGTATTACCAGATGCACTGGATTTATCGTTTTTAATTAATTAGCCATTGTCGACAGCTGACTAGTAAGATGTACATGTATTGGATTTAGAGCATAGAAATAAACTTGTGGGTTTAATGTCCGATAGAACGTAGAATTCTTGAAACTCTGAATTACCAAGGTTATAACAAAGAGGCAGGGGACGGGCAGGTAGATAAAAGACAGTGTGTGTACAATGTGTATGAATGTGTGCGTATGTGT